TTTCCTACCTATAATGTTCGAGTATTGCAGATAAAACGTCTCCAATGATTGGACATAGCAATTACCTTCAACATATCAAAACGCTGTCTCTTGGCCAGAACTTGCGAGTCTATATTTATCGCTCAGGGTCTCCCTTAGGATTCTGTCAGCGGCTAGTTACTAATCCGCATCTTTCTGGGTCAAGTACGTTAATCCGGTTCAAAGAACTATCATCACGTCCGATACATATAGGCTCGAGTATGGCGTCCAATCTGTAACGTAGATATATAAGCCATAAGACACCGAAAGTTCATTCCATGAGGTATACGAGCGCGAGCGCCCTGGGCGACTTGCGTACATCTCTTACACCGAGACCCCACGACCGCTCTCTAGTCACTCAGACAAGGCAAGGTACTGCTCGTCCAGCTCGCGCAATTCTTCTTAATCGTCGGCATTCTGTGTCTGAGTAGCAGAGTCAAGAAATTTGACATGATCTATAACCCGACGTGCCGCAGGGTTCGAAGTTCTGAGGAAGTTGGTATAGCTCTGTATGCCCAATGCATACGTCAGCAGCAGCGGAGGGGGTTTACGGCCGGCCGAATCGTCGAGGAACGAGATCGTCGCTGGGACCACGAGATCCCCGTAGACTTCGAGCACTGGGATCCTAAGAGTCAGCTGTCGCTATCTTGAGTGAGATATGTAGATGCTTCAGCGGCGTAAAACCCTGCAAGGCAAATACCACAATAAAAAGGGGAAAAGTTTACGAACTACTTACTGCCTCGAAGAATTTTCCTTGCCACCTTCTCCTTGATCTTCAGCGGCGTACTTATGACTGTCGGCAGCAGTCCATACAGGAGAGTCGGCCTCAGGCTTCCTGGAGCTCTTCCGCCAAAAGCGATCGGGGTGAGAGCTTGAGGGGGCTTGAAGGTAATGAGAATGGCAACGTTCTGAGAACCGAAACGCTCATCGAGACCGATATGAGCATGGATCATGCCATCATAGCAGCCGGTGACGTAAGCCTTGATGCAAGCATAACCGAGAGCCATCCTCATGGCTTCATACTCATTGCGTTTATCAATTTCCTTTCGCATATTACCGTGAACATTCTTCATGTGGTTCTCATCATAAGTAGTATCCAATGCTGTCCTCGAGGTCAGCAATCACGGTTATCAGGCGTACGTGAGTATGAAAAATGTTGAAACCCCTGTTGGTATATTTTCTTATGAGTAACCGAAATCTCAAGGGTCACCTACAGCGCACTTCTGCAAGGCGGGCGGCGATGGTCTCGGGGGAAATCATGGGAACATCTTCGGGGGCTTCTGAGGTGCTGCCTTCAGCACCCGTTTTGGGATTTTCGACATTAGCCTCGGATGCCATCTCTCAATTGGGGCGGTATGATTCTGTTTGCAAGTCAGAGAATAGTAACGGGTAACTTGATATATGGTGACTCACAAATAGACGAGGTATTCAGGTAGATAGCCCTCGAAGGCTATGGGAGAGTTGGGCAGATCGGTGGTGCAGGTAAACGTTCCAGCGTCGGACCACGAAGACCATCGACGACTAAGTGATTGGGCGTTGAACCAGTGTATCAAGCTTCTGGTTCCAATGCGTTAGAGCTTCCCGATGTCTTGATATCGCGTTTTGAAAATATAGATCTCAGAGAAAGAGTAATGATAACATGTTGGATCGTTTACCTACAGAGCGAATTGGTAACTTCAGAACGAGTGAATTCGGAAGTGTCTGCAGAAGTTGACTGACGAAAATTAAAGGCTGCACAGCAGGATATTAAAAAGGATGGGTCAAATTGAGAAAATAAGCGGATCTTTCAAGTCTCATGATCGCTTAACACCATTCACTGCGGTGATGAATGTCGCCGATGGTATTGTTGACTGTCAAAGTTAAGGTTGGCCGGGAAAAGACAACGATGCGTGACAACAATAACCTCCATATACACAATTACAGCACAAAACACCATCAGACACCATAGGATGTGAGATCCAGAACAAAAGGGTCATTTTCGGTACTTCTTCTGCAACGAATGATGGATTTGCAGAGGTTGCATGACAAGGACGGACTCAAGTTTCTTCGGATGCAACGAAATGGCGGCCTTACGACATAGCTCCTACTAGATAGTATGGGAAATTGATCCCAATCGGCCGTTACAATTTTGTAGTTACTCATATTCGGAAATGTTAGATAATGTGAACATGTTGAAATATAACAGGGGATAAGGTGAGGTCTTGCAATAGATATTGACTATCAATTTGCTCAAACCTACGTTGCTTCGATTCCTGCATCAAAGCAGACTTGTGAATAGGTAATGTTCCTGTAGCTCTAATACAGAAAGAAAGCTAAGTAGGGACACCAATGTTGCTGTCTACTCTAGTCCCGTCGTGCTCACGCACGCCTAGATATTAGAGGATCCGCCTTAGATACTTATCCTACATATCAGAGAACCAAAAAAGGGAGTCTATTCTAACACAATGTTAAGTTTTCGACGAAGAGTGAAAGCAGGGGAGACCATTGTGAATTCTGTGTCCTTGTCCCAGAAGCACTAGGTAAATCATGATCTCAGACGTAACATAATTCAAAGCTAGCGATATGATAAGCATTGATCATATTCACTTTTCTACATAACTGCTTCTACCACCCTCTGATTACCAGCCTTAATTATCAATTGGAGTTCGTAGAAATACTCTCATTTGTACAAGCTGACTGGACCACACATAGGGCTGGTTGGTCTATAACTTCAGCGGCTCCTGAAGACAATATTGGATGTGAATTCATTTGCCCTTTACTACAACTTTTTACCCCGAGAGTTCTAAGCCCATGCCCAGTCATAAACTTATACTACACTTTCTTACTCTTAACATCGTTTAATATTAGCCATCCTGTTCAGTCATCAATGCCGAACACCAACTATTAGTTCAGAGTCCCTTTGTACTAATTGACCCGACATACAACACTTGTATATTACGATGAATCAGATGTTATTGTGAGCGTCCGTCCCTCACGATCAAGGCGCTGCTTGCATCGTAGTCGTATACCTAGGGTTGCGCTAATTTGCATACTATCACAAGGAAGACAAGACGACGGCCTACTGGCATTTGCGTCTGACCAGAATACAGTCATGAATCATAAAGAAAGGTGTACTTGGAGCTTGCTTATCAAGACTGTGGCATACTGGTCCTGCATTTTTCTGTCGGTGTTCTGACCACCCGCATATTATTCCGGAGCACAGAACCGTCGAGCCGTTGCAGCAACTCCGCATATTGCTACTTCTATCCGCAGTTGCCAAAAGTTACATACAATTCCTTCAACAAATATGTAGCTCGGTTTCAGCTAGACTTTGGTGATTTGACCAGCTGCTATAAATTCGTATTGAAAAGTCAGTTGTTATCACCAGATGCTTAGATCACGATCACAGGGCTTGCCTGTATCTTCGGACGGGATATCATATCAGGGCTTAAGTATGCCGAGAGCATGCGTGTATTGTCCAGGTCCCCAAAATGGGAGGTCTGGTGACTCATCAATCGAAATGAGGCTCAAATAAATTATCTTACAGAGCTTCCTTCCCATGAACCATACATTTGGCCTGCATATTTATTGATTCTTGGCGAATATGCACCTTGTACCATAATCACACTCCTATCAGCCTTCAGCTTTCAGCTTTACGTTCGTCACATACAGCGAATACTAGAATGTGCAAATCACTACCAAGTCTGCGTTTCACTTCAGTGATACTTCTTCTTGTAGAAGCGGGATTAGCGTGCGTTGCCTCGTTGTCCATTCAGAGTCAACCAATAATTCTTACAGAGCCTCACTACCTACATGGTACACTCACATATGCACAACGTCAATGTTCATGCCAATTGTAAGCGGGCATCGTTTGCAATGAAACAAGATCTGCTGTGGTTGTATTATTCTAGGACTCGCAAGAAAATAATGATTCGAGAGAGTAGACGAGGGGGTGCTAGAACTGAGAAATACAAAAGGCCTAGCCTGTTCAGCACTCTTGCCTTCATGAAGACGAGCAATTAGTCTTTACATATCTAAATCCAACAACGAGTCTCCGCCCTTCCAGAGATACTGACTGAAGCGATCGTTTTCGAAATATCAACTGACATCATGGTTTCCTTTAAACAAATATCTTTACTCACCGCTAGCATCGGTGTTGACCGTGGCCACTTACGCGACCTTCATTTTTCAATACTGTATAGACCAGAATTTCCAGAACTGCCACAATATTTGTGGAGTTCCTGGCGAATGCAGTATGTTACTGTTTCAAACCTTCTGATCAATATATCTTTTAAAGATTGCCATGTACTAACTCGTGCTTTGTGCTGCTAGTCCCAGTTCCCACTGGCCTTAGCTCCGCGAGGGCTGCCGATGGATATAACTGCTATATCTTCAACGAGTGAGCAAAACATCCCACGCTCCTACATCCAGCTCCAGCTAATTGCGCAACTAGGAACACAGCTTGCGGTGGAAACCGTGGCGGGCCCGTCACCAACGACGACCGCCATTATGACTTGAGCATCTATGGGTGGAACGAGATTACTCAGAGTATTCAGTGTGAATTAGCCTAAGTACACAGAGCAGAGCAGAGCAACCTCGGGGTAGTTCTAGTCGCTTCATCGTATTCACTGTATTCAGATAGCAAGACTATTTTTGTTGCTTAAATATCAGAGGCTATTATTCTTTACTATATCAATCGAGCACCTGGTCTCGTGTAGATGCATGACACTCAGTCGGTCCAATTGCTATTACCAGCATTAGCTAACACATGTCGCTAGTCGTAATAATCCATCAATATTAGATACAGTATGTGCCCTTTACCACCGGAGCCTATTGTTGTGTCTACAGATAAGTGACAGGTAAAAAACAGTTCGGTAACGCACGGATGATTTCATGGTAGCGAGAAACTAGATAGGTACTCTAGGAAGAGCCTGAAAGAATGATGATAATAATAATAAAAACATGTAGTGAAGATCGGCAGCAAAAGTCCAAAAAGTTGGGACTGCCCCCATCCCGGATCGAACGAGAGACCTTGTCATTACCTTGATATGTGATACAAGTGACACGCGCTACCACTACGCCATAGGGGCCTCATGAATTGGATGTGTAGAAACGATGGATATCATGCTTGGAACCTTACACTATAATGTAGGCAAAACTTCGAGGGCGTATCTCTAGAAGCTAGCTTGCCAGACTTCAGCGCAACTGTAACTAATGCAGATTACGACGTAGCAGGTAGACCACCATAATCTTTAATCGACTAGATACCTTGGTAATTTGGGCGTTGTAGGTCTTTTAGTGATGGATAGAAAGATATTACTATATCCATAGATAGACAACTAACGCGGTTCACTACAAAAATCGCTATTCAAAGATGTAAATGTCTAGTCACTTCCAATAACCACCAGAGTTTGAAATTGCCGATTAAGGAATTAAAAGTCCCTTTGCTGAGTTTGGAACTTTGGAATAGTCTAGAGCTAGCTTTGTTCTTGCTCATACTGATAACTATACCAATGGACATCTCAGGGCGTAGGTCACGTGAGCGGGGATAAGGGTACGAACGCCGTGACGACTTACACAACTGAAATACTGGGTCACCTTTAAGCGATACCGGCACCACGTAAGTAAAGTACCAAGGTTCAAGGCGACCAGAAAGGCGCGGCGTGTCTGTGGGCGGTGAGGAAACATACATAAACTGAAAGATGTGATCGTTAAGCACAACAAGAAGAGATAGAAGTATTCGTTCGCGTTATCTATTCGCTTGTTCATCGTGGTTGCATATTCAAAATGTCATCTGGAAAGGTGTCTTACATTATCGTTGGAGCTGGCGTTTTTGGCGTCTCGACAGCCTACCATCTCATCAAGAAGTACCCCAACGCATCAGTGACCCTTGTTGATCGGGACGCCTATGACGCCGAGACTCGCGTAGCTGCCTCATGGGACTGGAACAAGGTCGTGCGGGCAGACTATGATGACATAATATACTGCGAGCTTGCGCTTGAGGCGCAGGACGTCTTCAGATCGGACCCCTTGTGGAAGCCCTACTTCCATGAGACCGGTCTCATATGGACATGTCGCGATGATTATGCCCAGAACGTCATCAGCAACTACAAACGCCTTGGAAGAAAGGCAGAGATCAAAGCCGTGACTGTCGAGGAGGCACGCAAGTTGTATGGAGGATTATTCGACAGCGCAGACTATACCGGCGTTAAGGAGGTACTCATAAACCCTACGGGAGGGTGGGGTGCTGCCGGAGATTCTCTACGCGCAATCACTCGCAAATGTCTCGACCTGGGTGTGCAGTACGAGGTAGCCGAAGTTGCAACGTTGCTCTTAGACAAGAATGGGACTTGTTCAGGCATCCGAACGACAAAAGGGAAGACCTTGAAGGCAACACATACTATTATCTGCGCTGGGGCCTACACGCCGACATTACTGGAATACAGTGCCGTCAACAGTGGTCTGCCCAATATTGCAGCCGGATTCAGACTTGTTGCAGGTGGTATCACGACAGGAATGGCTAAGCTAGATGACGAGTCGCATGCAATCTTCGGGTCCATGCCGGTAGCGTTTCAGGGGTATACTCCCGAAGAAGGTAAGGGTGCTCTACCGGAAGCTCTCGACTCCGCCTGCAAAACTAAGAATTCGAACAGGTCCCTTCATCGGCTCTCTCCCGCCAACGCCGGATGGCCGTGAGATGAAGTGGTGGGGACAGACAATCTTTAAAAATACTAGAGAAGTGCTGCCTGGTCATTATGTCTCATCTCCACCTCCAAAGCCAGACTACGCTCAGTGGGAGGTGTCCAAAAGGCTGAAGGACGACATCAAGTATGCCAATCATGTATTCTATGGTAATAAGACAGCGCATTGGGAGTTGACAAAACATCGTATTTGCTGGTATGTCTCATGGCTCCTGAGAAGAAAGCAACTGACTAAAAAACTTGGACAGGGACGCCTTCACCACAACCTCAGACTTTATCATCTCCCCGCACTCAGCTGCAAAAGGTTTATACATTGCGACTGGTGGGTCTTTCCACGGTTACAAATTCTTCCCGGTGATAGGGAAGTATGTTATTCAGATGATAGAGGGCCAGCTGTCCCCTCAATTGACGGAGAAATGGGCTTGGGATAGACACCGTCCCGATCCAGCCCTATTCCCAGACTGGCCTAGGTCAGAAATGAGGGATCTAATAGACCCTATGAGAACCTCGAAGTTATAAAGCAACACGAATTTGGAACTACTTCTACCACAATATGCACGGTTGTTTCTCTATAAGTTCGTTCATTGTAACTATAGCATATCTTGGCCTTGAATTTGCTGTGAGCTTCTTCTTAGCTGTGTAATGGCTAAATGCGGTGACGTTATATAAGTCCTGTAATAGAGAGACTTTACGGCCATATTAGGCTACAGAACGTCTGTCGTGTTTCTAATCGATTTGAGTATAAGTTATGTAATTTAAATCTTGGAAGGTTTAGTTTGTTGAGATTATTGACCGCGAAAGTTCTACCTTGATATTTTGCTCGCCTTGGAGTCAAGAACAGAGTAACCCCGTAATTTTGAATACATTTCGTCATTGGTCGAGATGTTTCAGGAGGACCGAAGCCTAGACCGTAGGATCCTCTCCGATAAGCCATCACGTGGAACGCGTTGGGCAGAAACATCGTGACACTTGTCGGGCCAGGGCGTTTTTGTTGAAACGTAACTGGACCAAAACGCGGAGATAGACAGACGCTGAACCTTGTTTACGACCGGGACTATAATCCCGTTGCCGACGGACCAAGAGGTTTTCCAATTTGTCTCTGCATCTCACTTCAACAAAGGTGGCAAGGAAAACGCATAAGCAGCACTGTGTATTGCTAGTGTATACACATATTGTCTTCATGTTGGCCAATGTCTATCTCGTAATTGTAATTCAACGGAAAGCGAGCAACTGCATAGAATAATATTCACGATCTGAAAGGAATAATTAAGTTCTCAATTAGGCCTAGCTTGAATTTATAATTGCAAATACAACGGCTCAAATAAGAGACTGTCGATTATGTTCACGAGACGTTATTAAATTAGATGCTTACTCGTTTATTTTTCAAGATTGACAAAATTCCAGCGCTAATAAATAAGTACGTTCGTGAAATTGGCCGTGTCGAATTCCAATTGATGCATCATAATAATTCAGTCCCGTATTCTCCTTACTGTTATGAGGCAGCTAGCGTAGGCTTGGGTAATGATCTTCTATCGTTGTGCGAAACGTCCCCAAATACGGTTGAGCAAATCTCACGACATGAATGTTCGCTTTCATTTCGCCTGCAGTCTCCGGGATCGCCACGCTGCTTGAATGGCATTGTACTCCTCATATTGCCTATCGTGGTAGTTTAGACGCATCATCCCGTTTGCTCAGTCTAGAACTAGTCCTGCTATGTTACCTAACGAGCCCAATACCCCGTGTGTTCCGGACTATAATGCTATAAATTGTAGTAGTCCCACATAACGAAGTGAATAGGTGGCTGCCGATCACGTGAGCGTATCTCGGAATGTCTCCGCCGCAGTCTTGGATGGCTCTAAAGCCGGTCATGTGATCGATATTCAACCGCCTTTGGGTCTACAGCCATATCTCATACGTCGTTACAACCGTGATTAGGACGGGATAATAACAGTACTATTAGATAGGCTGAGATATGGCGGTATATTGGCCCATGCTTGACAGTAATATGAGGGGGGATTCATATACATAGGGGCCGACCGCCGTGCTGTAGATAATCTGACGATTTGTCTCGGCTCTATACTTTGTATCTCAGAACAATATACTCCGAAGTACTCAAGCCCATTCCACTATGGCTGAGATATCCATTTACTACTCGCCCCAGATTCTTCTGTTGACGCTATCCGCGTCCTTAGTTGCCTTAGCCCTTTCATACTTGTCGAGGTTCTCTAGCTTAAGCTGGCTCTCCAAGAGCTTCTCTAAGAGTAAGGATGGAAAAGCCAAGGCTGTCAGAGCTCTACCAGGCTCATGGTATCTCTCCGAAGAGATGTATGAGCTCGAGAGACGGGCAATTTTCTCGAAGAAATGGCTCCTCACGACGCACCAAATAAGACTCCCAAACCCAGGAGACTGGCTACGGTACCAGGTAGCCGGCTTCGATTTTGTTATCGCAAAGGACCGCAATGGAACTATCAATGCGTTTCACAACGTCTGCAGACACCGGGCCTTCCCAGTAGTGACGAGTGACGGAGGAAACAATAGCATCCTTGCTTGCAAGTACCACAACTGGTCCTATGCTCTCAATGGCAAGCTCACCAAAGCGCCTTCATATCAAGACCTCGAAGGGTTCGACAAAAGCCAAAACAACCTGTTTCCTATCCATGTTCATATCGACACCAATGGGTTTATTTGGGTGAACATGGAGGCCACAGAGAAGCCATCCACTCTGTGGGAAGATGACTATAAAAACATTGATAAGCAGGCTAGATTCAAGGCGTATAACTTTGACGACTACAAGTTCGACCACACTTGGCAAATGGAAGGGGAGTATAACTGGAAGCTTCTGGGAGATAACTACAATGAGTGTTATCACTGCCCGACTACGCACCCTGATATTCCCACTGTCGCCGATCTCAGTGCTTATGGTGTTGTCACGGAGAACTCATACGTTCAACATCTCGGCAACCCGACACCTGAACAAATCGCAAAGGGTTTCAATGTCGCCGCCACCTTCTACTTCCCCAACGCCTCAATGAATGTCTCGTAAGCATTGATGTCACCCGTAATAAGACAGACCACGCCGCTGACTTTTACTTAGGCCTCACTTCTTCTTCATACAACGATTCATCCCGAAGAGTCCCAACACATCCATCATGTACTACGAGGTCTTCCGTAACAAGAACTCATCCGACGAAGAGTTCAACGTGATCAGCGACATCTATAAGCGTATCATGTCGGAGGACAAATACTTGTGCGCAAATGCGCACAAGAATATTCAAGCTGGCGTCTTCGTGAATGGAGAGCTGCACCCTAAGATGGAACAGGGCCCCCTCTACTTTCAGAAGCTCGTACGCGATCTCATCACCGACCACTACAAGCAAGAGAAGAAGGTT